TAAATATAAAGGTATGTGTCAATCAAGATATATGCAAGAACAGGCTCAATGATTAATTACATGGACAATTGCGGGTGTGGTGTACATTTTGTAATAATTCTTTAGTATATTACTTGTGTGATGTAAGAATGTTAACACTGTTATATTCTTTTTTTAGTATAATATGTGTGTGGGTAGAAGTGAATCATTTACTGCTTGCAAACCAATGATGGTAAGATGATGTCATGGGGTAGGACTGGATAAGTCTGACTTCTTCCTACTCCATTCAAGCATGTATTAGGTATAAGCAAATTGATATTGGATTATGTGTAAAATTATGTGTGTTGTTATATCAACTGTTTTTACATGCTTGAAAGAATAAATCAAATCAAAATCAAATCAATCAAATCAAATCAATCTATGGTAAAACTGTCTTTCACACACCCTATTATTATTGATGGATAAACCAAAACTTTCTGAAGCACAAAATCAATATGAAGCAATTGTGTTGAAAATGGTTCACAGTTTTGAAGCATGACACAGTCAGAAATGACGACATCTGCTGGCCAAACCCTTGATACACTACCTTGAGTACTTAACGGGTCCAAAGGAATGTAGCTGCTGTTAAAACAGACTACATTTAAATTATATGATACTTTTTGCCTTATTTTTTATTCTTTATTCCTCAAATCGGGTCCATAGATTTTAATTTACATTGTTTATCACTTTATTTTGTTTGCCTCACTTCTCTGTATAGTCCAGTAAGCCATTTAAATTAATCACACCTTATTTAAACCTGTCACAAATTCTTTAAATCATCTCTTAAAATATCCTCATTGTGTGACCACCAAGGCTGGATAATACTGGTGAGAGTTGCTGACTGAATTTAAGGTGATTTAACCATTGACTGCAGTATTTATAGGACCTGTATTTGTGGGTGGTTTTTCAAGATGCATTAGGTAAATCTTCAGGTGTGTTTTAACTGTAACTGGCCAGCACAGTCAAACATACAGTGCTTTTTTTGTTCTTATTATCTCATCACAGTATTTTCTTACAACATTCAGTCACAGACTCATGAGGTAGATAAAGGACCATGGGTTGTAATAGTATTTTTAGTCACCTGTGGAGCAAAGGTGAAGGAAACTGCACTGTTCTATATTTAACCTGCACTTTTTTCATGAATTCCTGTGCTTCCAGATATTGCATTCAACAGATGGCATCTACTCTCTGCTTTTGGTTTAGGAAACAAAAGTTAAAACATAACTGCTGCTGGTAATAATTATTGTTTTTGTCTGCCTATTCAACTTCATTGTTGTTTTTTTTTGTTCTTGTTGTTTTTTTTACTTCTGTTCCTGCAGGAGTGTGTGTAGAGGCAGAGACCTCAGTGTCAGCAGAGCAGACACAACAGCCAGAGATTAAAGTGGGGATGTTGAATGGAGGACGAAGGATTGACTATGTGCTTCAGGAAAAACCCATTGAGAGCTTCAATGAATACCTGTTTGCCATCCAGTCTCATCTGTGTTACTGGTGAGTCATGTGTGTCCATAGGGAGGAGGGGTGGACTATAGTCATTGTGCTCCTTTGTTTTCCATGTGCCAGATCTTTTCTCTTTGTTGTATCACATTTTACTGAATTACTGAAAATTTGTACTTTAAAAATAAAAAATGTCTTCCACTCTCTCTTTTTGTTTGTCTGCCAGGGAATCTGAGGATACAGCTCTCCTGTTGCTGAAGGAGATTTACGACAAGCTGGGTGTGGCCTTTGAACAGCCACAACAGTAATTAAGTTTTATGAATGTAGACTAGGTTTTTAACTTGGCAGTAACCTGAGAGTGAAAAAACGAAGGACAGCTGACCAGCAACAGGCTGCACAATCCTCGTCCAGGGTGCCTTACTGGCTGGGTGTTACCAGACTGCCCTGCCCTCTCCTCCTCTGATGGTGGAGACTGCCTGGCTGCAGTCAGGTGATCTTTGTCAGTCAGCCTGAGTTTTAGTGTCTGCTTATGTTCCTGGTCAAATTTTTGAGTCACTTTTTGTTTTGCTATACTTTGCACTTTCATTTACCAGCAGTTATTGACATATCCTCTTTACCCTTGAGTAATAATGAAGAAAAATAATAATAAGAGGAAACACACAGTACTTGTTGAAGTATGGAAATACACATCATTTTCCCTATCACCAATTGACATTTCTGTGCAGTTCACAACAAAAATATACTTTAACATTTGTGAATTATAATTAAAATAGTAGATTATAATCTATAAAATGTAATGTTATTTCCCACCCCTATACATGGCCTTCATAAAAATCAGAAATATAGAATTATAATTAATAACAATTCCTATTATATGTGTTCAAATGGCATTTCTGTTTTACCTTTTAAACTTCAAGCTCTTGTGACCAAGGAAGCTGTCCCATAGCATAACATTGGACCTTCCCTTTATAAATAACCAGGTCAGATGGTTTCACTTGGTTAGCTGTAAGATGTTTAGTTACTGATTCAGAAAAGGGAAACTGATATTTTGTCTCTTACAAGTTTTCTGGCACTGTCATTCTTTCTGCCGGCACCAAGACTACTTGGCAGATGCTACTCCTATTTCTCTGCAGCATAACAGCCATATCGATGTCACTCCTTTTATTTTCACATGGGGTCTGTTAGGGACCGTTAATGAAAGTGAAGCTCATCTTGCCTTTTGATCATGTTTATTTAAAATATGTATTTCAGCTTAATTGTATCTACAGATGTATCTAAAAGAAGTAATCCTGGCAAAAGGGAAAATTCTGGCAAATTGTGGCAAAAGGGAATTTTCAGAAATGTAGCTGCTTGAAGGGACCAACTGGTTGTTTTTTTTTTTCTTGGTGTGTGTGTGTGTGTGTGTGTGTGTGTGTGTGTGTGTGTGTGTGTGTGTGTGTGTGTTTAGACTATGTATGTTACTGAAAGGCTAGTTCATATCTCCTAGATCTTTGCTATCCCTCTTTTACCAGACTTGTATTTCTGATGTTTTGCAGTTGGCTCACATCCAAGTCCATAATAGAAGTGTATTCTTTATCCTAAAATGTTTCATTTACGTTCAGACTGACGTCATATAGAGAGTTGTAACTTTTTTTCAAATCTAAGGGCCAAATCGTACATGTTTCTCTTCAGCTGTTCATTTGTTTCCATGTGTTGAAAGTCACATTTTCTGTGTTGCACTTTATGTTAGAGCAGAGTTTCTCACCATTGTCTGGTCCTGACCCAGTTCTTTCATAATTTTCATGGACCCATTAATAAAAAAGCTGTCACATTGAAATTGTTTGAATCTAATTTAAAGAGTATGACCACTAGATTGATATTTTTGTTCCAAAGTAGTTTATTATACAGAAAATATATGCAACAAACAAAATATCAATGTACAAATTTCCCAAATCTGCATCTGTATATCATGTAATGCAAGGTCCAGATTTCAAAGGTGAGAAACTCTGTTCAAGTGATTTAACTTAATAAACTACTTATGTTTTGCATTATCAGGGTATCATGACCCCCACCACCAAAGCTTTGAGTAACTTGGGTGTAACAACCACACAATGAATGAATGAACCTAAAAAGGTTGGTTCATGTTTCTTCCTTCCTTGCACTGAACACTAAATTATTGTGTTGGAGTGTTTGAACTTCACCAAATCTTTGTGACTAAAGAGAAGTAACAGAAATGTATGATGCCATAACTAGGCATTTGATAGTAATGTGTTGACACACACTAAAAACAGAAAGTTCTCCATTCTGAATACCTACAAAATAGCAGTGTGGCATTCAATCAGTGAGGTCATCAATTTTGTGAAATAACAGGTGTGAATCAGGTGGCCCCTATTTAAGGATGAAGCCAGCACTTGTTGAACATGCATTTGAAAGCCTGAGGAAAATGGGTCGTTCAAGACATTGTTCAGAAGAACAGCGTACTTTGATTAAAAAGTTGATTGGAGAGGGGAAAACCTATAAAGAGGTGCAAAAAATTATAGGCTGTTCAGCTAAAATGATCTCCAATGCCTTAAAATGGAGAGCAAAACCAGAGAGACGTGGAAGAAAACGGAAGACAACCATCAAAATGGATCGAAGAATAACCAGAATGGCAAAGGCCCAGCCAATGATCAGCTCCAGGATGATCAAAGACAGTCTGGAGTTACCTGTAAGTACTGTGACAGTTAGAAGACGTCTGTGTGAAGCTAATCTATTTTCAAGAATCCCCCGCAAAGTCCCTCTGTTAAAAAAAAGGCACGTGCAGAAGAGGTTACAATTTGCCAAAGAACACATCAACTGGCCTAAAGAGAAATGGAGGAACATTTTGTGGACTGATGAGAGTAAAATTGTTCTTTTTGGGTCCAAGGGCCACAGACAGTTTGTGAGATGACCCCCAAACTCTGAATTCAAGCCACAGTGAAGACAGTGAAGCATGGTGGTGCAAGCATCATGATATGGGCATGTTTCTCCTACTATGGTGTTGGGCCTATTTATCGCATACCAGGGATCATGGATCAGTTTGCATATGTCAAAATACTTGAAGAGGTCATGTTGCCTTATGCTGAAGAGGACATGCCCTTGAAATGGTTGTTTCAACAAGACAATGACCCCAAACACACTAGTAAACGAGCAAAGTCTTGGTTCCAAACCAACAAAATTAATGTTATGGAGTGGCCAGCCCAATCCCCGGACCTTAATCCAATCGAGAACTTGTGGGGTGATATCAAAAATGCTGTTTCTGAAGCAAAACCAAGAAATGTAAATGAATTGTGGAATGTTGTTAAAGAATCATGGAGTGTAATAACAGCTGAAAGGTGCCACAAGTTGGTTGACTCCATGCCACACAGATGTGAAGCAGTTATAACAAACTGTGGTCATACAACTAAATATTAGTTTAGTGATTCACAGGATTGCTAAATCCTAGAAACAAAAACGTTTGTACAACATAGTTTTGTGTTTGTACAGTCAACGGCAGACACTGCTATTTTTTTGAACACACCCCTTTCAACTAATTGCCCAATTGCACAGCCTTAAGAGCGTGCATATCATGAATGCTGGGTCTTGTTTGCTTTCTGAGAATCTACTGCACCTACTGGTAACTTGTTTGCCATGTAGCAATAAAAAATACACTAAAAACCTGGATTATTCTGGTTAGTCACATTGTACTGCTATTATTTTGAACAATACTGTATTTCTATCATAATAAAACATAACACGTCTTGCTGTGTTTTGGAGTTTAGTGAAACCTGCTTATTCTGCATTTAAAAACACATATGAACGGCCCCTATTTATGAAGAATTAAACCTAATGATGTTTAATAAGTAACTATTAAAAAGCATTTCTCAAGTGACCACGTCTGCTCAGAGAAGGAAACAGCCAATCAGATCTGCCATAATATAGGCTTACATTCATTACTAAAGTCTAATGGCATCATTTGATAAATTGAATCAATACATTTTGAATTGATCCCTTGGAGAGAAGTCTTTTTCTTTTGTGTATAGCCACACTAACAAGTTAAAGGCTAAGAAGTGACGACATGTTCAAGTGGCTGAAAAGAAAGTGGCAAATTTATGCCATGAGCCATAAGGGGACATTAACTGTCCTCATTTCAGAGCAGTGCATGTGGTTGTGTCTTATGCATATGAAATCTGAAGTCATTCGTTAATTATGACCTCCACAGTCAGCCTCTTGTGATTCAATAAAGTGGGAGGAAGTTATGCATTGAAGCCTCTCAGTTATGCCTGTAGGTGGGTGGTGTCCCGGCCACCATACTGTCTGATCATCCACTGCTCTGAGGGTTTGTAGGCAATCTTTATTTTACCTAAAGAAACTCACAGAACATGGGACAGGCCTGAATTAAGAGGTATGGTTTCCTTCTTTAATCATACCAGCCTCTGTTGCATTGACACACAGTAGAATGGATGGACCAATCTGATAGTAGGCTATGTTTCCAGGTTCACTCATACTGGTGGTTAAACAATGTTGGTCATTACTCTTTATCGGCCTTGATAAAGCCTGTTTTGTCACATAGATTGAGTTGTTTGGCCTGGTTTTCAATTGTGTCCAGTTTGGTCTAAAAATCAAAATGATGAGCTGAGAAAACGAGTGTATGCATTGCAAACAAGCTGAGAGTGTGTGTGTGCTTTTTTTTTGTACTTACACTGATGACCAGTCAGCCACTAGGAAAAATAACTTAACATGTATATACATTTATTGCGGGCTTTTAGGTACAGAACCTAATAAAGTGGTCACATCAGCATTTGTAAGTTAAGTGCAAGGGGGTCTTAACAGTGTGCACCTAAGTCATCCATCAGCATCTTTGACTCTGAATTGTGTTGGGTGCCTGGACCCCATTATACCTTTTTGCAGGTCTAGTACATTTTATATTGTATTGGTAAAAAAAAAAAAAAAAAAAGTTTAAGTTGACATTTTATTGTGGCCAGCCTAAGGCACACCTGTGCAATAATCATGCTGTCTAATCAGCATCTTGATATGACACACCTGTGAGGTGGATCTCAGCAAAAAAGTGCTCACTAACACAGATTTAGACAGATTTGTGAACAATATTTGACAGAAGGGTGTACATAGTCATAGATCTTTGAGTTCAGCTCATGAAAAATGGGGGCAAACACAAAAGTATACTTTTGTTTAGTGTACTTTACTTGCGATCTTCTGTCTCAAAATAAGCATAAACTTTACTGCCAAGTATTTCAAGAACACAAGGAATTTGACTCCAGCTCAATGGCCCCACAATGTGCACAACATAAAAACCAAATAAATATACAATGTGTACAGTACAGTGAGAACGTTAACATGTCTAACCTTCGAAAAATATACTATCTTAATACACAATGAAAACACAAACTAAAAGCAGTGTAGCCTACCTTAAAGAACCGGTTTGATGCTGACTTGATGCAAAAGCTAAGTAAAAGAACAGGTCTGTAATTTGTACATGCATGCCACAATGCGCATACCAACATTCAAAATTTAGTGCCCAGTAGCTATGGGCGCAGCAAATAGCTAGCTGCATTTGGAGTTCGGTCCTACTGCATGGGAGAAAAGTCAACAGATACATGACATTACAAAGAGATGTAGAGTGTTTTACAAGATCGTGGTGTGTGTGTGAAGTGTGGGTATTTGGAACTTATGCAGTCTAAGAAACGCAAGAAAGGGAGAAGGAGAAAAAAAATTCACAATGCATTGTGAAAATGTAAAAAGTATAGAATATATACTCGACGCTACCAGGCATGCGCATGCGTGCAAGCTACCATTCTAGACACGACGTCACATTGACGTCATGGGAATCAACGGCTCAAAGGAATTCAAAGGTCTACAAGACGACGGGCTGGCTCACTGTCTCATTTACATCTAAACATTGCTAAGGGATTAACCTACCAAGAGTTTACTGCAAGAAATGGAGAACTCTAAAAAAATTATGGCAGATCTAGAAGAAATGTCACAAGATGTGGCTGTCCTAGGCTGGCGAATTGTATCCCTGTTTGAGTGCCTGATGTTAGATATTTTTAGTCAGATAGACATTGGTTAGGTACTTTATGTATTAGAAATGTTTAGTGGAGATAGGATGTCTAGGTAGGCTGTTAAATGCTTAGTCATGCTCATAAGTTTTTACAGGGTGCATATGGTCAAGGATAACTAGATAGAAAAGTTGATGACTGTTAGAAGACAGGATGATTATTATTATGATGTGTATAACCGTAATCGTAATCATAATATTTTCTTATGTTTAATGTCATGACATGTCACTAGATGTCATGTCAGAATGTTTTTAGATACACACCACTTAATCAACAGACACACACATATTGATTTTCTTCATGTTTTGACTACTGCTATGGTCAGCTGCAAAGCTGGCTCCAGGGACACGTCACAGTTGATGTTCCTGTGTAGAATGGGGCTAGCCCAACCGAAGAGATAAATGTATAGGCCAGTTGTGGTCAGGGTCTTTTTCATCCTTCAGCTGCCTGCGTGCATGTTGGAGGTGGAAGATACCTGAGCATGTAATGTTAATTTTTACCTGTGTTCATTGAATAAATCAGCACTGTATTGAAGCTACTTGGACTGCCTCGTTTCTCAGAGTTAGCATGGTACAAGAACCGGAAGACTTCACTGACAAAAAATCAGGTGACTGTGTTAAAAAGACATATGTGGAAAATGCACTCTGAATTTCCCGCTAAAGCTTCAATTGCGGAGTTTGTTTTGGAAATTATACAAATGTTGACACATAAATGGGTAATGGCCAGAAACAAAAAGGATATCATCACCGTTGAACAACTTCGGCACATTCTATCTAAAATGGTCACTAGGAGTTTTTTTTAATTTTATGAATGGCAAGAGGCTAAGCGGTTCACAGGGTGTCAGTGTGTCAAACCTTGTAGGCCTGATTCATGATCAAACTAGAAAAGTCATTCTACGTTTACATCCGGACATGATGATGGACTCTAAGCGATATGTAATTAGTGCTATGGCCTGATGAACTAAATGAGATTATTTTCCTTGTCTCTACTGTGTTAGAGGGGGCATCTTAATTGGCATGCGGGCTGTGCAGACCAGACACTCCCAGGATACACCCATTCATCTATCTGAAAGAGGCTTTCCATGTGAAGAGAACTGAAGCTATTGGGGAAAAACTATGCTTGGGGGTGGAATACATCACAGAAACTCTTTTAAGAGATGTGCCAGACCATGAGTATGAGCTGCTACACCTGGACTGTTCTCAGAAGTTTAAAGCTGTTGCTGAAAACATTTCTCAGC